ATATCTGCCACTTTGCAGTCCAGTCCTCCATGGCTTGTAGATCATTTAATATTTGTCACCTCTGTTACGTATTGGGATGAGTGGATCGAATGGACTACTTTCAAGTCACCTGAAATTATCATGAGTTTCTGAACCGTATGACAGGTAGAAAATCGTTTATGCCCAATACGAAGAGAAGGGGTCCTAAAGCGCTGCCTTGAACGACGCCACTAGTAACTTGTTAGGGCGTAGACATGAATTCATTTATGTTTACTGTCTGGGAGCGTCCAGTCAGATAGCATTTAAACCAAGAAAGTTTAGTTTAGTGTAGTTTACTAGAACTAATCAGTTTCGATGACTCTTTTGTATGAAACTCGATCGAAAGCTTTCTGTATGCCAAGACGGAAGGCAACGCGTTGAAGTCCAGTATCAATCGCCCCATTGAGATTATTTAAGCAATTAATTTGGCAAGTTATGCACAAAGGAGATTTGAAAAAGCCATGTTACGGAAGTGAAAGAAGACTGCCATAAGGGGGTGTTAGTTTCTTTCTTTACAATTCTCTATCAATTGTGATAGGATGAAGTGTAACTAATGGGGCGATAATTACGGATATCTGTTTTGGGCGCAGGTTGATATCGCGGTGTAACAACAGATTTCTTCTATCTCTCAAGATACTGAACCGACTGTAATGACAGAGAATAAATATTTGGTAATACTACTGGTACATCGTCACCACCACACTTGATCACAGCTGAAGTGATACCATCGGGACCAGGGTTATAGGGTGGTCAAAGCAAGTTAAACGAACGTTTAATGATCCCAATGTTGAAGTCAACAACCGAAATACTTTTGGGAATGACAGATGAGACTGGAAGTACCAGAATTGCATATTCAGTGCTGCAAGATTCAGCGAAGTATGCACTAAAATTTTTTGCCAAAGCAGCAGGCGTGACAACAACACCGCTGCCTGGTGTGATAATATTTGACGGTAGGTCTGTTTGTGTCCCTTTTCTCTATTTCTGTAATGTACTTAGCTCACCAACTTTGTGTTAACTATGCAAAATGCGTTTCTCTTCTTGTATAAGATGCGTAGTTTTCCTAGCATCGGTTTCAACTACATGTCTTTGGAGACGCAACAGCATGCTGGAATCACGTTTTTTTTCTCATAAGTTCGAGCTAGTATGCGCATTTTTCTCATCTTTTTCAGAAATATCAGATATAAACGAAGGTCTTAAATAAGCTTTCTTTTTGCGGAGAGTCAGTGATTTCAACCAATGGTGTATGTTGCAATTAAACAGAATAGATACACCTGGGAGATCGTGCAAAAGAAGGAAAAGGTCCAAATTTCGAGACCGGAGTATAATAATAATATAAAATGATGTGCCAGCTGTACGTCGTAACGGCGCTCCGCTGCCGCGCGACCATTACTAGTCGCACGAGAGCTGAGTATATCGCGGAGTATAGTAGTAACTCTGTTCCAGTTTACATTTTGCTGGTAGAAAGAGTGTATTTTTGAATACACGTGTGAGGGTTCGGCCTTTAGTCTGCAGGCGACTAATTCGTGATCGCATTCTGGGAGGCTCTGTTGTACACCAGTGACAATGGAAATAGGGCCTAACTTAAAAACTAGGTCCATCACACTTATCCCTCTTGTGGGTTGAAGGATCTTTTGACTCCATTCTTCACTTTGCTGGATTCCCGTTCGGTACTGAACTAGACCAGCCCATGTCAAGCAGGTTGAATCCCCTACAGATGACTTTATTTTGCAGAGTATTTTCCGTAATCTTGCTAAATATATTTACTAATTTTATCTCATCATGCTTGCTGCACCAGGTGCGCGTTGTATACAACCTACAATAGATCAGTTTCCACCGAATGACAATATTAGCCAGACGGAATCAAGAGAGGGACAGATAAGCGGAAGTGTGTGCTCAGAAGCAACAGGTTGTGTGAGTAGTGAATAAAGTAGCCTTCACCCATTCCCGTCCTTCGATCACTTCTGCTCAATTTATATCCGTCAATTGAAGTCATTTGCTTTGTCTGGTATGTGAGATTGCAAACGCGTCACGAAACTAATTAGCGAAACACATCAAGGTGATCTGAAACCATCTCAGTTTCTGCGCGGGATGCAGAGTTTGGCCAAACCGGCTGCGTTGACGACACACAAGACGCGTAACGTGCTCTGCGCTAATGTAGATGCGTCTCAATCTACATCTACCAGTAATTGGAGATACTACGGTCGAAGCACACACAGTAAATCAATTTCGCAACACGTATCAACTTTCGCGACGCTAAACAGAAGTCTTGATGAGAAAGTAACTTCAGAAAATGAAAGTGAGTACCGTTCTTGGGGTGGATTCCCTTCGTCACGTTCCAAAGCTTCTTCGCGACCCCTTCTGCCTGCTACTGATACAATAGACGATTTGACAAATAAAAACCAGATCATGGCGCCCACCCTGCTATTTCGCTCAAGTCGCACGGAAACGGGCCAGTCGGTCACGTTCGGGCGACGGAGGTAGTTGTTTAATACAGTCGCGTTTTCTTCGTCACTGCTCTAGAAACGTTAGTTCGCTACTTGATGGACACTAGTGCGATACGAAAGACTACAACAACAAGCCGATTACCTCAGTTCGGGCAGCCAACGGAACCATTATTTACTTGCATGGTCAACACTAGCGCACGCCTAATTAAGTCTGCTTTATTCCTTTAAATGGATTTTCCTAGTTCCGGAAGTCACCAATTTGTAGCCTTGATTTACTGGAACACTTCGACTTGTTAGTAGAAACGACGCACCGTCTTCCAATTGACCTGTAGACACTTTGACTGACTTTAACTCAATCAGTTCCGCAAAGGCAACGAACCTAGCTGAGCTACTGGTTAGACGATACTGAACAGTTTTCCTCAAGTCTTCCGTTCAACAATACCGTTACCAACCGCTACTCGCGCCGCGAAGCATGCTGCCAATACCGAATGGCCTCCTGTATTCTCGAAAGCCAGACGAATGATCCCAGACAAGCTGCGAACTGCCCGATCAGTATTCCGGCAGATGCTTAAGCCAGGCATCCTTCGCCCATCCGAAATCTCTTGGGCATCGCCGTTTCACACGGTTCCCGAAGGGTCAGGAGGCTGGCACCCATGTGGTGATTAACGTGCGCGTAACTCTGTAATCGTCCTCGACCGTCATTCTATCCCTACCTAGCACTCGTGTGTTACCGAAAATTGATCTGGATACTACATTTCACTACATCCTAGGGTCCGAGGAGCATATACCGAGAACCTGTATAAGCTTGCTTGTTGTGTCCCACGAATTTCTTCCCATGTCCTTTTCTCTTCGCAACACAACGCAGATATTCCATCGAGTCATCTATTCCGTAACTAGAGGTCTCGGTTTTGTCTCTCTTTACGCCGAGGTTATCCGCATAGCACGCACTTCCGAAGAACAGCACGCGGAACACCATAAGATTCTTTTCGATAAGTTGGCCGCTAATGACATCACTGTCTATACAGGCGAATGTATTTTGAGCTACCATCTATCCCTTTTCTGGATAACACATCGATCACCATGGCGTACGGTCTTTAGACGATAGGGTCCGCTCTAGAAGAGACTTTGCAGTCCCGAATACAGTGACCGCCAACCGCCATTTTAATGGCATGATCAACTGCTACCGAGGTGTGCTCCCATACTCTGCTGACTAGCTAATTCCATTAACCTATCTACTTCATGGACGTAAAAACAGCTAGATGGAATATACCGCTGCTGTTACCGAAGCATTCAAGGCCAGCAAAGAGGCATTAATCGAAATCGTTATACCTAATCATTTTGATGCGACCATCCAGCTGTTTGTGTTGGCATTTCAGACACCACTATTGGCTCCTTCCTAAGGTAACTTACCGAAAAATGTTGGAAACCGCTAGCATTTAACTCCAGACGCTCATAACATGCGGAAACTAATCACAGCACTTTAAGTCACGAACTACTAACCGTTTACTTTGCTTTTCGACGTTTGTGACACATTCTTGAAGATAACTCCACTATCTTTACCGACCGTAAGCCGCCCGTAAGCCGCCCATTTAAGACATTTATGTGGCCGACACACAATACATGTGATTATCCAGTTAGATTTTATGGCCCAAATTTTTACTGACGCGACATGTTTCAGGTCAGAATAACGTCGTTGTTGACACCATTTCTTTTGTCTCCGCAATGATTATCAGCGCCGGAGAGGCAATCAAACTATCTGCCATGCGCGTCGTGCAACAAACTGACAATGATTGGTTGTCAGTCCGTCGTACTAAATTCCACTGCAACTCGTACCGCACCCACTGCCGTTGTCCCATGATACTATTCTTCGCGACATATTCACCAGTCATCCTCATTCAGCTGTACCAAAATCTTTTCTTCATATTGTTCTTGATATCCTACATAAATCACTGACTCAGGTCTTAGGTCAACCGGCAGACACTTTTAGTATGGTATTTATGACTTGGTCTGCAATACGACATTTGACTCTGGGAACTTACTTGCTTAATCTGTTAAAAGACAAAGTTGAACGACACACATCTGCTGCAGCTGACCGTTTTCCCTTATCTTCCGCTCCTTTCGCGGGAATGTTCCAAATCGTAACCATGATAAATCGCCGCATAGTTGGCCTGAAGCTATTACGATTCGCGATGTCGCACCTGAAACAGTTACATTAGTTTTGCCAGTCGCAGTGTCACCGCTCACGGTTGCCCTGTAACCGTGATTACCGATACAAATAATCATTTAAAGTCTTTTCGATAAGAGTTGAGGAATGGAATTTATGACCGATTTACAACTACTGCTGCCGGCTCTCATAACTAAAAGTAATTACTGGATGAATCGGTGCAAATAGCAATCCAACATTAACTGCATGGTGTGTTGTCGCTTTTAAATGCCCAATTGTTGCTAACTTTAATAGCCCACATTCTTTTCAGCTACATTTCTTTGACAGGTTTTAGAGCCAAATAGGTCTCATTCATGCTCTTCATGTTTTAACAGTTCCAGGCAATGCAACGTCATAACTTGGCATGGCAACAATCCCTGCGTTACCAACACCCAGTTATGGATCAATTTGGCGGAATTCGAAGAATCACGCTTAATGACAATCCCGAAATCAGTGACACAGGATCCACATGCCTCGCCGAGGCAATGCAAGATGATCTATGGGTAAAAGCTATCGATCTGCAAGCATGCGAAATAAGTGACAAATCTGCAATGACGTGGTTGAGGATATTAATCGGCGACAATCGTAAAGCGCTTACGTTAGGTGAAGAATTGACTGATCATCAAATTAACCTCGGAAACCGCTCCCTGGAAGTATTGGACTTGCGACGAAACCCCACTATTGGTACGTTTCTACCCCGACAACACTTCTGCTTGCAGAGTAGAGTTAAACGTTCCATAAATAAGGGAAAACCTGGTGTCACCTTATTTTATTCTCAGTGCATGCGTTTACCCAGAGTATTACAACTTGCGAGTTTAAACAAATGCATTTTTACCCTGGAATTCTCTGTACTAGACATGTTTTCTTACCCTTTAGCCTAAGCTACTCAAAGATTTCATTCTCTCGGATGTAGTGCAGTGGCGAAATATTTACAGTTTAGAACTGTGAACCCGTACACAGTCTTCGAAACAACGGAGCTCACGACAATTGTCCTAAGGTATCACCTACCTTGGCTGTCATCATGATAGCCTAAACAAGTTATGCAATTCGCTTCAGAAACTATGTTATCCGGAATTTAAGCACACCAGACCCGTTAAATTATCTGAACATTAAATGCGTCTTCCCGTTATATAATGCTCAGTTATTTGTTAAGTCAAAATAGTCATGTGGTGTCGTGGATTTTATTTAATTACCTTCAAACAGATAGTGGCTTACTGAGGTTAGTAACAGAACGAACGCTTATCAACTCAGAGGGAAAACGGACTGAGGTAAGCAATATATTTCCATGCAAACTTTGTTGTGCACATTTTTACTCATCTCACTTTAGTATGCTACACCAATGGAATACTTATGGGATCACTACATCCCGTTCCATGACTTTGATTACTTTCACTGTACCGTACTGCGTAATTATTTCTAACTCTGAAGTTGGTATCTCTCAGGTTTCCTCCGTGAATTCTGCCAGGTCCTGTGTCCAGCCATGTTCAGGCGAGAAACCTTTCAGGTCTCATCGCGTAGTGATTCCCAAAATTCGTTTGTTAGCATCAGCTAGATTAATAAACCAGTTTTTTAGTTTGAAGTTAGTGTACGTAAGCTGTACTCAGGCGATTAACTTGTTTTCTGGTTGGATGGGTTGGGTGCAATCGATGTAAAAACAGTTGACATATTTTAGGAGGTCCAACGCGTCAAAGCCCTTTCAGTGATGATGTGAGTGACGATACAGTGAGAACATGTTGACAAATCCCCTTCAGCCGTCAGTACACTTTGCAGCACTTGGTTGTAAAATTTGTTTCACAGTTTTATCTATGTAAACGAAACTATGTGCACCGCTTGCACTGGTGTACCATCAAAGTTTAAAGCTCGCAGCGATTGAAAGTTTAAAACGACCACATTCTCAAAATGCTGCAAAAGACGCCAACTCTACCCCATTCACAGGAAATCACGCTATGTTTCGTGACTACTATTTACTCTTGATAACCCTGCATGTCAATGATGTGCTCATAGAATTCTCCATACATTACTTTGCCTTCGGGTTTATGCACAAGAGACTACAAAAAGCAGTAGCCTAAAACTTTGCGTTTCCTACCCACATTTTATTGTGCGTATTATTCTGTGTTTATCCAGTATGCAGAGATAGACTTTAGAACCAGTCACAGAATATTCGATACTACAGCAGTTTACCATTGGGCACTGTACGAGCGTTTGTCTCATACAATAACTGAACGCCGGATCGTGTCACTGTAAGAAGGCAGAATCAAAAGTGAAGTCATTGATCTCATGGACCACTTGGTCCTGGTTGAACACCAAAGACTGACCCCAGGCACTTGCAAGTCCCGTGCCACGACACTACGACAAATTGCTCAGAGAACGATCCCAAACAACCGCTTAAACTAGCACGATTTCAACTTTGCAAGCAGTGACTCTCTGCACCTTCTACCCTTTCAGTATACGTAATCCAATTTCGGGCATAGTTTAAGTCGGAGGCTAAATGAGACCAATCAATACCTTCATCATCTCATGCCAACGCGCGCATGCGTTGTATTTCCCTTCATTGCGTGTGTGTGGTGCAACGATACTTAGCACCTGAGCATGTATGGACATCGAACTTAATGTGCTCAGTCTATCATGAATCAATCCACCGCGATAATGATAAACGTGGCCAACGAGGGATTTTGCTTGAAGCTTGACTTCTCACACTGATTGACATTGTTTTATAGATGTGCAATCTCACACTAATCATCCATTAACACGGTGCTCAAAAATGCCGGTCTCAATAGAATCAAGATGAATTGTATGCACCCACGACCTATTAGTACCCCTCTTCATAAGGGAGGAAGTCGCGCTAAAAGTGCTAATTACTGCCTACCAACGATTTTCTCTTTACTCGCCAATTTCATCAAAGCGATCATCGCAAACTCGTTGAGTGAGATACTTGAATAGCAACGGTATCATCTTCTTGGAGCAGCGCGGCTTTCCTCAACATTGGTCGTGTGCAAAGGACTTGGTAATTACACGGTACAATGAGAAAAAGCAGTTGTTGGGGGGCAGGACTTTCAGAAGCGTTAAATCGCCCAAGTCATCGTATCTTGCTTTACAAGCTTCAGACGTATGGCATTAAATATCCAGGTTTTGGCTGAATCGGTAACTTCCCCTATGAGCAGCAATGTGGGGTTAGATGGCGTACATCTTCGCCCCGCCCAGTCGGAATCGAGTGCGGTGTACTGCGATGTTCCATATTTGGACATAGTCTATTCCTAGTCTTCAGTAACGATCTAGCCACAGTTATCACCACAAAAAGTTCACTCTTCACGGACAAAGTTAATATTTTACTAGCGATTTAAGGATGGGGTATTCATTTGTTCTTCTACTGTGACCATTATGTGGATTCGAATTAGTCGGTGTGGAACGCGGTCATTAAATGTGGACAAGTGCTGAGTTTTTCCCTTAGCAAATTTCAAAATCGCAAGAAGAGCTGAATTTTTACAAGAACCCTGATGAGGAATTATAGAAAACAGTTGTTCACTCACACTGACTTCCGATGTTACAAAAAAGTAGTATGGATAGTTGAATGAAATAATTATTCGTTCATGGCATTTTGACTCAGTCAGACAACCGTCACCCTCGCTTAGAGGACCATACGGTCATTTCATCCATTCAGGAATAGTTGACAGTGCGCATTCTGTCTGGTTCCTGTAGGACCAGAACCCTTAACCCGACTGTTACCAACCCGGGTGAAAACCGCTGGGGTACGGGAGACTGTAATAACTAACGTCACCAGTTAACTAGATGTGATACAGCGCCGTTCGCTATCCATTGAGTTGAACGTTACTGCCATGCAAAGAATGGAGTAGTCTCCTCTATAAGAGACAAACTTATCAAACTTAAGCCGCCAAATAAATTATGGCATTATAATCAGTTTAGTAGGCGTACTGATTACAAGGGTTCTAATCCCACACGGGTCAGATGGGGTTCGCACTATTGAAAATTCACAGAAAGAGGAAACGACTTTACAGTGGATTTTCTGTCGTGTACTGGCTGTCTGATTGACTCTATATTTCATGAACGTCTACTTATTTCATTCAACTCCCACACTACTCCCTTATAGCAGAGGTGAATACGTTGAATCCACGTATTTCGAGTATTCTCGTCAGCTGTTCACAAATATTCCGTGAAATTATCACATTGCGAACAAGCGAAAGCAATATGTTGTCATTCAGCTTAGATAAACTTGATCATTGACTTCATGTGCACACAGCATGGCTCGCCGTACACTCAGTCTACTTGGGTAAACTAAGTTCCATCCACCGAATTGTTAAATCTTCGGCAAACTGTATCAAGCGGTCATTTCTCTGTCCACTAATTAAACTGAACAATTCTCGAAGACTTCGGCACGCAGCGCAGTTTAAGATATGCTGCGCAATAGAGCTAATCGGCAGTTTGGCAACGTTGGTGGCCATACTGTGGAATGGGCGTAGAAACTCTAATCGACAGCCTCCTCTCATTTCAACCAGGTTGACTGTCACCACACTTATAGCGGAAGGGATAAACATAAGAGGCGGTAGCAGTAGGGCCTGGCTTGTTTGCGCTGGATTTACAGAGCGGCTTCTTTTGTTCTAAAACACTAGTTCGACCGCATAATGGCATTTCTTGACGATCTAGCAGAGGTAATGACGGAATTTTCTATCGTGTTAATCCCCACAAACTGTAACGTAATGACAAGATTTTATAGCAGTGGTAAGAAACCCCACCACCACCCCCGTTGTTTTGTGAGTTCGCCCCACTCACGCCTATTCATCCAGCCCTCTTTTCTGATTCCCCGCATAGGTGTTTTCAGTTTGCCACACATTTGTGATTAGCTTCCTTTGACACTGGATCTTTTGCTCGTTAGCTTTTCGCTTACCCTGTGTATTTCGTTCGTTTGTGAGTCACCGTATCGATCATTGGCGCTTGAATTGACCAGCATTGATCGTCCACCTTTCTGCGTAGCCTGTGTATATGCCCTGATTTGAATTATTCGGTTGAGGTGTGCTCACGGAAGCTTGGCTGCCGGTTCGGCTCGCGGCGAGTAACATTGTATTTTACCCGAATAGTCGTGCGTGTTCTCAATACTGCTAGTGGGAGGAATACTCGTCAGTTAGCGTATCCTGTTACAATATTGCTTTTTCTTGCTATTATGAAGCGTTGTGTTGTTCGCTTTGGCCATCGACACGCCTACATCTTCAAGTTTGTGACGCGTGATCTGCTGACCCCCACTCAGGAAAGCAATGTTCGTTGTGCCAGACATCCTACTTCTGCTTCAAATCAAGTGACCATCACTTTGGTCTCTTACAGACGGCACCTGGCATTCATCCATCTTCTCTTTGATACTCAACGTTTACAGACGTCCACATGTCGTACACACTGTCTAGGCCTGACCACCCTGGCTGAATCATAGCCTCGTAGCGCTCGAGACTCCACAACATCAAACAACGAAGAACGTCAAACGTTTGCACCACCTTCCGTGTCAACAACAGCTGAAGGATACATGGACTTTGGTGGACGTTACCGGTGCCTATGCTAATAATTCATGATAACAGCCAAACATTGAACGATCCCAATCACGTATGATTTAACCTCCAAAAACTCAGTTCTAGCATCAACCTTTGAGGTAATCGTGTAAAATTGCGTCAACAGCCCCATCGTTTAAACTGTCGCGGGCTTCATGCACCTCGGTAGGTACATTTTCAGTATGTTACACTATCACTAAAAATGAACAAAGGAACTCGATGAGTAATCGGAAATAAAGTGTTTAATACGACTTGTGTTAGTGTACAACGCAAGCAAATCACTGCACATTTTATTGAGGAGTTTCGTTGGATCAACAAGTAGTTGTGACATGTACGGTACGATAGAATTGTTGTAAGTTGAGAAAATTAGGTTCTGAATCCAGAGCTTGTAGAGGAAATAGTTAGTGCTTTCGGTAGATCACTACGGATTGGGTGAAAAGTGTCGTTCAGGACTGCGAAGAAAAACTGGTACAACGGACGTCATTTTGTTACAATGATATAAACGAGAAGCACTCTGGACAGTTCACCGACTCTGAAAATACCTTTTAACGAATGAACAAACAATGTATGTTCGCTTTACAGTTGTATGGGAACAATTACTGGGGAACAGCAAAACCAATTAGGCAAAATGCGTGCCACAACAAATTTATGCACCAAATCACGAGGTACTGAAATTATCTTAAGCCTGAGGGCATAAAGGCATAGCCATCAGGTGAAATGTT